CAAAAAACAGCCACTTCCCCAGTTTTGCCGAGTGCCACAGCCTGGCACTCGGCAAAGAGGTCAATTTTGCCGAGTGTCACAGCCTGGCACTCGGCAAAGTGGTACATTTTGCCAAGTGCCACAGCCTGGCACTCGGCAAAGAGGTCAATTTTGCCGAGTGCCAGATGGTACCACTCGGCAAAGACTATTTTTAAAAAGATTTTAAAAAAAATTGTTTCTTTGCCGAGTGCTCAGCCCTGGCTCTCGGCAAACATTCAAATTTTGCCGAGTGCCAGTCCCTAGGCACTCGGCAAAGCCGGCGTTAAATGTTGACGACAGTTATTTTTTTGCCGAGTGCGGGCTTGGCACTCGGCAAAGACTTTGCCGAGTGTCGATTTTTGGCACTCGGTAAAGAAATTTTTGCCGACAAAGTCTTTGCCGAGAGGCCTTTGCCGAGTGCGGCACTCGGCAAAGCCTTTGCCGAGTGCGGCACTCGGCAAAGCCTTTGCCGAGTGCTTGCCTGGCTTTGCCGAGTGCCCCCAGCACTAGGCAAAGAGGGCGTCTGCAGTTGTGCACCACGCATGAAGGGTGCACATTCCAAGCCACTAGTCTTTGTCTCATATTGATTATTTGCGTGGCGTTTTTTTCTTTTTCGAGTGCCAATAACTCATTAGAGCATCTCCAAGAGTTTCTAAAACCCATCCCCAATCTAAATTTTTTTGCAAGAAAGACATTCCTTTCCAACAACTCCCTATCTCAACTTCGGATCTTTCCACACTTGGGAAAAATGATCCACACGCACAGAAAGTATAGATCCACCCATCTGGAGGCGAAATAGGACGTGGGAAAGAATAAGGAGTAGGACAGGATTCTCAAATGTAAATGCACAAGAGAGAAAGAAAGTATCAAAGTGGTTGTGGGTGATTTATAAATAGTTTGGATTCCTGATGTAAAATAGTCTTCTACATTCATTCTAGGTTGCTCCAATAGATGTGCTCCTAACTTTTTTTTAGCCACTTCAAAACCTATTGATTTACCAAATTATTATTTTGGGAGCTATTGGGGATGCTCTTAGCGCACTTGCGACGTGGGAGTATAGGAAAATCTTTTCAACTTCTCAGTGTATTTAGGGTACATATGCGCACATCCAAGAAGAAGAACACAGATAAGATAAAAATCACAGCCTATGCCAAATAAGACATGGAAAATCAAAGATAAGGTGAAAACCGATCGAGCTAGTACCTCTTGGATTTGGATGATGGATGTAGCCCATTTATGACGATGGATGTATATCTATATTTGGTCGCATCATATCGAACCTCAATAATTTCCCGGCTGGCCGGCCGTCCGGATAAACCAGAACCTCAGATAGTACATATAGCTGGGACCACTCTTTGTAACCTACTAGTTCATCGTTTCGCTGCCTGGCTCTAATTAATTTGAGTAGAGACATGTGTGACCATCGATCGATGTGCATGCGTATACGATCGATGGAGATATGTACGTCGTAGCCATCACGGTAGGGCATCGTCTATCTATATCTAGCTAGGGTGCATGTGCTTAATGTGGTTTTGAGGATTTCAGTCGCCATCGTCTACATATATATATCTAGTGTAATAATGACAAAAAAAAAAACTGTCCAGCTCGATCATTATCGCAATCGCAAGGATGACCACAACTACTGCACGCCTATTGTGCGGGCATGCATGCATCCCTCTCCCTCCACGAGCTAGCTAGATCTTTCTGGGTTGTGCTTGAATTGCAAGTTTTCTCTCTCTCTCTCTCTTTTCTTTTTCACGAATGCATGTGTGACATTCAGGACAGTTTTAATTTTTTTTGAACCGGGATACCCCATTTCCGTATTACAAGTGGAAATCCAGAACAGCTCGGAGAGTAGCATAGGAAACAGAATGGAAGGCGTTACATCAGCACCTGATAGACTCAGGTGGGCAGCATGTCGTCTAAGTAATCAACCTCTAGACCAGGGAATAATTAAAAGATGTAAAACAGCAGGCAAAAGTTTGATATAGTGCAAGGATTGACATGAAAAAGCAAAACCATCCACTTCAAATTTGTTTTCTAGATGGACACCGCCCTTCTTGCATTGTTGTCTTCAGAGTCCACACTTGAGCATCTGTGTGATCACCAGAGTTGGGGGGTCGCTGCGAAGTTAAGAGCAGCTGAAGAGCACACTGAAGCAGCAGGTTTGCACCCTCAACCACCTTTTCCTTGATCCCATCTTTGAAGAGACGTACCCAAAAAATAAGAAAAACAAGATGCTTTTATTGTAATCACCTCACAAAAGGATGTTTTATAGTCTTCTTATCGTCTGTTTCGGCATTTCCAAATCCACCAAGAAACAGCAGCAGTTCAAAGAACATGCATCCATATATCATTTGGAACCACTATGGTCATCCATTTCCAGCACTGCTGAATGGATTTTGATATCTCATTAGCCCCTATCACATGAGCTATAACCCCCAAAATGTTAGTTTTAGCCACCATGCATTGGAATAGGAGATGATTGATATAGATTTATCACAAGAATAATAGAAATAGCACTTAGGATCCCCTTTCTATTTTCAGCACAGTTTAAATAAGACACATGCATGTGTGTGTTTGATGTGGGATTATTTGTTTGAGATTAGTCTCATCTACAGTTATATTGAGTGTGAGTTAGACTTATCTAAGTGGGGGTTTCATCTCCCAGTTTTCAACACACTCATATTTTGAAAATACTGCAGAAGAGTTTCCATAAAACTCTCTCTTCTCCCATGAAACTTTTATCTTCTCTCTCTTCATCAATACAGTGCCATATCAGCATATTTAATGCCCGTGACACTCTATAAAATCTCCATTGAGACTGGCCTTACATATAAAGGTTTCTCACCAATCCCCTGATCACACCGTTTAAGGTCCTTTCGAATTCCTTTGCCAGGCACCATTAAAGATCCCCTGACATCATATAGTTAATAAAATATGTGATTTTACATCAAACGATTAAGTCTGATCTTAACTAATGGGTCTGATAGATTCTATAATCCTATGGGCCTGTTCGGATCCACCAACTAAACTTTAATTTAGCAGGCTAAATTTAGCTACTAGGGATTTAAATGGCCCAGCTAAAAGATCAACTAAAGTTTAGCTGAGTTTAGTTACTTCAACCTAGCTAAACCCAGCTAAAGTTTAGCTAAGTCTATTAGCTGGAAAATCCAAACACCCCAACTAAAGTTTAGCTGAGAGAACTTTTAGCTAACTAGCTAAAACTTTAGTTAGAGCATGTCCAAGAGAATTGCTATCTAACTTGCTATTACTATTTTTAGCTAAAATTCTAGAAAACTAGCCTCCAACGGACTAGCCAACGCAATTGCTATCCTATTCGACATGCTATCCTGTGAGCCTCGGGAGCTAATTTTGGCTAGCTGGCCTGCCTTGCTATCTTGGTGCATGTGAGGCTGATAGCTAGTGCCATGTTTGCATTGATCCAAATTCCACTCCTTTCTTTTGAAGATATAACTACTCTGTTGGAATATGTTGGATTATGGAGAAAGAATTTTTATGAAGTGGATAGCTAAATGAAGATATGGAACATGAAATTTAGAATGTCTCTTGGAGATGCTCTTAGTTGGATCCAAACAGGGCCTATATATAGCTAGTTAATAGAGTTTGTGTTTCTAAGATCTTGAAGTTTATGATCTAATGATTATATGATCTTATCTAAATACTTGCAATCCAATTTAGAAACTACGATTTTGATAACCTTGCTTGACATGGGATTTTCAGACAGACCTAAGGTGTAGCTTTTGTAAGAATCAGAGTTTTGTTTGTCTAAAAATGGGCCTACCGACCAATTATATGAATTTAAGATATATACGATGTATAGGAAGCAAGTGGGCTGAGTCACGCACGTGGACCATGGCCCCTATATGATATACACCATTTTAGGTGTGTTTCCCACAAAAACTTCCACCACCACCACAGTAACCTTTGCTCCAAATAAAAACACCACAGTAACCACCATATATAAACACTACTTAGTTTGTAGTACTAGTGTATTTCTAGGCAAATAAACACGCTGGATCAGGGGGGTCTGGGTTGTTATGCTCACAAAAGGTGGCCACAATGTGTCTATGTGTAAAGCTCGACATCCCTAACTTTCTATCGATTTTCTACCATGTAGCTGAAGATGAGTGCAGTAATCACATATCTTCACAAAAGATTGAAGAGGTCATCCATAGAAGAAATCAGACGAGCTAAAAGTAACTGGCCACAATTTTTTTTCCAATGGATGAATGACATAGTTGGTTGGAACCCTATGTGAGCAAAAACTCTTATGTGGCTGTCGGTAAAGGTATAGCTGGCTCTTTCAATTTCACTTGAACTAGCTGTATATGTCGAGGTTGTCTAATTAGCAACATTTGACTCTAGCTATCTTGTCATGGAAACCAGCCGGCTTAATGGTGCACGCCCTTTCCCTTGTTTATTAGCTGTGTCTATGTATAAGTTTTCTGTTTTCTTCAAAGGACTTGCTGTTGTGAAAGCAAATATGACACATATATTCAGGGAATGGTATGTTTACTAGAAGACACCACGTTGCCCAAACAGATATATGCAAATAACATAGCATAGCTACACACTTGTGTTAACATAGTGTAGCTACACATTGTCACGAACTTCTCTTTCTCAGACAAGAATTAATCACTACGAATGAACTGTTGTATTCGATAGAGTAGAGGTTCAGAGCAAGAAGAAGAAGAAGAAGAAGAAGACGATTCAGAGAGAAGACAGCAGGGAATAGCTAGAATTCAGTTACAATTCAGTTATCCTTTCCCCTCTCTACCACCAGCCTCACATTTATACCACGCCATACAAGGCCACCAGGCCCAAGCCGCTTTCGGCCCAACAGACTCCCAACGCGCCCAGACAGTACTTTCAGCCACTCTTCGCCACTTGCATTGCCGGACGAGTAACAGTAGCCCGCCTCCTTCTCCTGACACGCATGAACTTCAGTCTTGGTGCCATCATCCTGATGACGCTGGAATTGTAGGGACAAGGAAGAGCTTCTCCTTTCGGCGTAGTGCCATCCCAAACACCTCTGACATATCAACAACACCTCCGCCGGTACCCTCATTCTGAAGCTTCCAATCGAAATGGTACATCAGATTTGCTAGCATAATCTCAGTAGTCGCAATCCCAAAATTTATACCTGGGCAAATCCTTCGTCCAGCTCCAAACGGCAGAAACGCAAAGTCCGTGCCCTTCATATCAGGGGTTGCTGCTGCTTCAGAACCAGAACCTTCCTGCTCGAGAAACCTCTCGGGCATGAATTCCTCAGCCCTATCCCATGACGCCGGGTCTCTCCCGAGAGCCCAAGCGTTGACGAAGATGCGTGTTCCGGCAGGGATCCAGCAGACATTGACGTCGCAGTCTGTGGTCGAGAGGCGTGGGATAAGGAGTGGCCCTGGTGGGTGTAGCCGCAGCGTCTCCTTGACAACTGCCTTTAGGTATGGCATTTTGCTGAGGTGCTCCTCCATCACCACCATGTCTTGTTTTTTTCCTGCAGATGCAAGCAGTGGTGTCGTCGTCCTTATCTCTGTTTGTAGTCTGGCCATAACGTGTCTGTTCAGCATGAGCTCAGCCATGGCGTAGTCCAGCACCAGATATGATGATTCTATGCTCCTCGCTTGAAACGTCTCCTGTGTCAAGAGATCAAATTTCAGAATTATATATCACGTACATATATACTACCTATATATGCTTAGATAAATTATTTAAAACTTTTTCAACGTCCTTATTTTTTATTATATACAGTACAGATTATCTGGTGTATATCTTCACTACCGGAAACAGTGACTTTACCATGTGCCACAGGCACTCGGCAAAGACCAAAAAACACTCGGCAAAAAATTTGCCGAGTGTAACACTCGGCAAACAGCACACGGCATCTACAGTGTCGGCAAACGTCTCTTTGCTGAGCGTTTTCTATCGGGCACTCGGCAAATACTTTGCCAAGAGCTGAAACTGACGCTCGGCGAAAAAAAGTAACGCGACAGCGCGGAGACGCGGTCACGACGCGTTTGCCGAGTGTCCCGGACCTGACACTCGGCAAACCTGAATTCTTTGCCGAGTGTTCAATATCTAACACTGGGCATACATGCCTTCTTTGCCGAGTGTCAAACCCCGGGCACTCAGCAAACCTGCCATCTTTGTCGAGTGTCAAATCCCGGGCACTCGATAAACCTGCCATCTTTGCCGAGTGTTAAATACTGGACACTCGACAAAGACTGGCCCAGAACGTACAAATTCAATTTATATCAATTAAAATTCTATAATTGCACTTAATAAATTAAATTTATCAAACGGATCCAAAAAATTACCAAAATTACACATGTACGTTCTCTATTGCCTATACAAAAAGTTTTGAAGTCAAACCCTAATTCGACCGTCGCTTTGACTCCAAATCTTACCGAATCTATCTCAACGCTACGATTCTTCTTCTGAGATACTTCGATTTGTAAACATCGTACATGACAGATTGTGCGAAACCTTCTCAATTTTTTTGCCATGGCCTCCACGTATGATATCACGAGATCTCGACAAATCTCATGATTTTCATACTTCGTTTTCTTTTTTTAAATTTAAAAATCATTCGGCCACACGTTCGTGGTCGTGTTTCCTGAACAAGATGTTCGAAATTTCTTTTCATTTCCTGGGTAAGGCCTCACACCGGACTCAATAACATGAATATCATTTTTCTACTCATTTTATTCTATTATTTGAATCACTTGCAGTTCAAATTTGACTTATACCAAAAAATTCCTTGAAAAGCAATAAATTAATTAAATATAGCAAACGGATCCAGAAATATACCAAATCTTAACATGGAGTACCACATGTTGTATGTGGACAGTAGAAAAAGTTTCAAGGTCAGAAGAGAGAAAAAACTTATTATTTCATGCAGTTATAATTCAAATTCAATTTATATCAATTAAAATTCTATAATTGCACTTAATAAATTAAAATTATCAAACGGATCCAAAAAAATTATCAAAATTACACATGAATCAATCTATATTCTCTATTGCCTATACAAAAAGTGTTGAAGTCAAACCCCAATTTGACCATCACTTTGACTCCAAATCTTACCGAATCCTTCTCAACGCTACAATTCTTTTTCTGAGATACTTCGGTTTGTAAACATCGTACGTGACAAATTATGCGAAACCTTCTCAATTTTTTACCACGGCCTCCACGTATGATATCATGAGATCTTAACAAATCTCATGATTTTCAGACTTCGTTTTCTTTTTTTAGAATTTAAAAATCATTCGGCCACACGTTCGTGGTCGTGTTTCCTGAACAAGATGTTCAAAATTTCTTTTTATTTCCTAGGTAAGGCCTCACACCAGGCTCAATAACATGAATATCATTTTTCTACCCATTTTATTCTATTATTTGAATCACTTGCAGTTCAAATTTGACTTATACCAAAAAATTCCTTGAAATGCAATAAATTAATTAAATATAGCAAACAGATCCAGAAATATATCAAATCTTAACATGGAGTACCACATATTGTATGTGGACAGTAGAAAAAGTTTCAAGGTCAGAAGAGAAAAAAAAACTTATTTATTTGCCGAGTGCCAAAAAACACTCGGCAAAATTATTTCTTTGCTGAGAGCTAAAGAAAGACACTCAGCAAACTTACTTCTTTGCCGAGTGCCATTAACGGACACTCGGCAAACTCCTAACGGCCAGCACACTAGCTGACGGATGTCCACGTGGCGGTTTTTTGCCGAGTGTTTTTCCTAGTTTGCCGAGTGGTCTTTTTTCAGCACTTGGCAAAGATATTGGTATACCGAGTGTCGTTGTTTTGCCGAGTGTGGTTTCTGATGCACTCGGCAAACAGTTTTTTTGCCGAGTGCCTGATGAAATGCACCCGGTAAAGCTTTTGGCACAAATTTGCTGTTTCCGGTAGTGCTTGTGGCCAGGTGAAACTCCCCCTCTCACAAACCTGAATTTTTTTATTTGTAATCTCATTTCCTTTAAAAAAAGATTCCCCTCTCACAAACCCAATTTTGTCTTTAATTTGTCAATCTCACTTCCTTAAAAAAAAGCTTTCCATCTCACAAACCCAAATTTTGTCTCTGCCACCTGACTTTATTGGAAGAGCTTTGTGGCTGGTAGGCCACTCACAAACCCAAACTTTGTCTTTGTCACTTGACTTCTTAGGCGAACCTTGTGTCCGGTGGATTATTGGCGGTGCCCACAGTGGCGATGAGGCGGGTGGGCCCAGCCATAAGGTGTAGGAGGCTGAGTGGGCATGGAGGTAGTGGTGACTGATGAGGGATGGGGAAAACGGCGGGGGGTGAGGTGGTGGACTGGTGGCAGGATAGGAACCACAAGCAAATAGAATCGGATGATTGTTGCCTGGGCCATCAAACAACTTTCTCAGGGACTCAATCAAACAGGCTCAAGGTGCAGAGATTTTCCACAAGAACAGTAGGACGGTGATCGTATGGCGAGGAGTGTGGTTGTCGGTCGAGATGGAGGAGGAAGAAGACCATAGGAGGAAGATGACAGAGAACCCCTAGATGCTAATCCAACATACAGAAATTCAGGTGTGGAGAGAAATTTTCTTATCTGGGTGTGAGAAGTAGATGTTCAGCATATATAAAACAAAAAGGTACAAATGAGTTGGCCACATACGTACCATTAAGAGCGCCTTGACGTTGCCCCTGGTGAGACCATATTCCTCCTCTGCAGCCAGCAAAACATGTATCAAGTCTTCAGTAGTAGTAGTATCGCTACTGCTCTGATCTTGCTGTGCCTGTTGGTGTTCGTGAATGAGCTCGTCGAACAGCTGGTCCCACCTCCTGTGGACCCTCTCGGCCTGTGCACAGATGAGCCTCCTGACTCCTGAGCAGCTCCATCCTCGTCAACCTCGGGAAGTAGTCCTCCAGGTTGAACCCCCCAAGCAGGGCGACGTTCATGTTGACCAGCTCCATCAGCATCCTATTACACCCTCCCGCCCGGTGCGACTCTCCAAGGACCACGTCGTTGGCGTACGCGCTCACCAGCTCGCTCACGTCCACCGCCGTGCCGGTGCCGGTGCCGTCGTCCGCGCTCGCCGCGGCGGCCTCGCGGATCTTGGCGAGGACGACGCGCACCTCCTCCAGGGGGCCACGGCGGAAGGACTCCACCTTCCTGGCGCTGAGCATGCGCGCGGCGACCACCTTCCTGGACCGCCGCCACTCGTCGCCGTAGGGCGCGAAGCCGACGCTCCTGGCGCCGTAGAACAGGATGTCGGCCACCGGTGACCACGGCCTCGAAGAGAGGACGTGGTCGTGCGCGCGCATGGACGACCAAGAGCTGCTGGTAGCGCGCTGCTGCTGCTCCAGTAGCCATGTCACTCTCTCAGTCTCTCTAGATCTGGCTGGGTACAGTAATTTTGGCAAGCGGTTTCGAGTGATCAGCCTGCGATGGCGTCAATCACAATTTATACGGCAACTGCTCGGCCTAACAGAAGACGACGTATTAACATGCACGACGTGACAATTGCCCCGTGGGCTTCGCTGAAAAAACAAGCCGAAACACTGTTACGGCTGATTTGTTGTGGGAGAAAAATACTGTTCCGGCTGAAAAAAAAAAACAAGCTGAAAAAGACGGATTATAAGAGAAGCGAACAGGTTCAACGTTCAACCCAGACGCGGCGCCAGCGGCCGAAATACTCATTATTTATTGCCCTGTTTGTTTGGGCTTGTTTGGCTGATAAGCCATGACTGAAAGTATTGTTGGTTGATTTTATGTGAGAGAAAAATATTGTTCGTTGGCTGAAAAAGTACGGCTTATAAGCCAAACAAGTCCAAACGAAAAGCGCAGTATCTTTGTATAAATTTGATTTGATCAATACAAAAGAATAGTTTAACTTGGTACTTTTTTTTTAGAGGTTAACATGGTACTGTTACAATTGCGGCGAAGGGGAGTAGTATGTCTTATAAGTGTTGGTTTTTATTGATGATGATCCTAACAAGTAAGAGTATGTACAGTTCATATTTTTTGACCGTACGTTTTTCTGGCAAGTGTTGCACGTCGTCTCACTCTTGCCTGAGAATCGGTATTTGGTTAAATGCGACAAACTCGTCCCAAATGGTCGAAAAGAAAGGTGGATAAGCATCATCTGGAATGGGAATAGTGACATGTATGTACCGCAATAGTCAGAACTTATTTATTAGCAGCCGGGTTGCGAGAACAATTAGGCCCCGTTCGGTTTCTATGAACCGTTCCCAGCCGGACCTGGAACGGAGAATTTCTTCAATAATTTATATAACGACTGGAATAATTCCGGCCTGGAACAGCCCATTCCGGAGAAAGCGAACGATGCCTTAATGGGATCGACAAACAGAGATGCGCAATGTGAGACACCACTTCTAAGTCGACGATCCCACAATTTGGATGACGATGTCGTTTAGGTCTTCAACTTCTTTTTCCCCCCTATAAAATGACGATGTGACATGCTTACTTTACACTTATATTAACCTGACATATGGGTCCCATATGTCAGCCTTACCTCTCATTTCCCCTAACTCTTTCTTCTTCATCTTCCCCCTCTCCCCTTCCCTCTCACCATGGTCGCCATCCGCCGCCGGTGCGTCCACCTCCCTTGCGCGCCCCTTGTTGTTGTCCGCCATCGGTGCGCTCATGCGGAACTCACCGTCTCAAGCCCCATGCCTCCCCTTGCCCTCGTCCCTCCCCACCCTCCACGCCGCCCTTGCTTTGAGATCGTGCTCAGCGGCTCCGCCCTATGCGAAGTTCATGCCCCACCGAGGCTGGCCACGCGACCACGTGCCAGACCACAATCATTGTCTCACTTGGCTGTCATGCCCGCCTCATCCAGTTGCTAGACTGCCTGGACACCTCTGACGTTTCATTTGTCATTGACGACGGTGATACATTCCCTCCTCACCGAGCCTTGCTCGCCGCCCATTGGCCGGTCTTCAAAGCGCAGCTCTTCGGCTCCATGGCGGACACGAAAATGTCGTCCATCGTCTTACGCGACATTGCGGTTCTAACGTTGTAGTGTTGATATGGCGGACTAGAGAGGGTGAATAGTCCTTTCTAAAAATAAACACGACAGCTAACCGAAACAAATACGGAATCAAAACTATCGGTCTAGCCAAGACTACACCCCTCTATCTAAGTTCACAAGCACCTTATAAAGATCTTAATTAGGCAACAAAGGTGTCGGGCTAGCTAAAGCTTACCTAACCAATCTAGCTTGCAAGGTCATACAAACCTATGCAACTAGTACTTCACACAACCGGGGGAGTTCCTGCATAATATAGTAAGCAAAAGTACAAAGCCACCTAAGCTCACTAGCAATGCTCAATAACAAGGCTACACAAACCAAATTAAAGAACGCAAAATTACTTAGCTACACAAACTAAGCAATACAACTAATAAGGCTACTCAAGCAAAATTAGTTGCGCAAGAGGGCTACTTATATGCTACACAAGCAAGAAGGTGACTAGCAAGCTACACAAGCTGACTAATTACAAGAGCAACTACACAAGCACAATATATGAAAAGTAAATACAAGCTTGTATAAAGGGAATGCAAACCAATGGGATGAACAATGTTGACACGGTGATTTTTATCCCGAGGTTCACTTGGTTGCCACCAAGCTAGGCCCCGTTGTGTCGGGCGCTCACTTGGTGGTTCGGCGACTAATAGGTGTTTCACAAACCTAGCCCACACGTTGGGCGCCGTAAAAACCTACCCACAAGTGACTAAGTGAGGATAGCTCAATCACACGCTCTACTAGAGTTGCTCTTCGCAGCTCTCGCGGGGCGAGCACAATGCCCCCCACAATCACTTCTCCGGAGCACCGCACAATCTTCCTTGTGTGCTTCGACGGAGACCACAACCTCCAAGCCGTCTAGGTGATGGCAATCACAAAGAGTAACCAGAAATCCTCAATCACAAATTTATTTTAGTGCCACCAAATATAAATCCCGAATGCACTAGCTAAGCTCTCAATCCCTCACTCAAATTAGCACCAAGCTTGAGAGGGAGAGGAAGGGGAGGAGGTGGATCTTCAACCTCTCATGCACACCCACAAAGGGCTCTCATCAATCTCTTCAAGAAATTTCAGTTCAAATCATGGGAGAGAGCATAGGAGAGGAGGAACCGTAGCTCATGTTCTCCAAGGGTTAGAACGGGGGAGTGAGCTGTTGGGGGGGGAGAAGGGAATCCCCAGCCGGTCTAGCCAGGCCGAGCGGGCACGCACCCAGGCGCAGGCCCGAACGGTCACCTGAGGCTCCTACGCTCTCTGTGTGATAGCTGACATGCGGCCCCAGGCTTCCAACGGAAGGAGCAGGCGCAAACGGTCACCAGCAGATGCGCCTCCGTTCCCACGCGTGGTCCCCATACAATGCAAAAAACAAATGGAATGGAACAGCGGCGGCATGCAGGTGCAAAAGCTGCCCAAGCCGCCCACGCTGCTTGCCCTTCTCCTCTGCTGGGCTGGCCACCAGGCCAGGTCGACGGGCCGGCCCAAGGCGCCGCCGGCTCCCACTCGCTGCAGGCCACAACCTCAGCGCCCAGGTCCAAGCAGCTGGCCGAGCCAGCTCTGGCCTGAGTGCCGTCGCCACCAACAGCACATTCCACAACTCCATATTTCACCCTATAAAGTTGCTAACTCCCCAACAAATACCAACACAAATTTGGCACTTGAGCTAGCAATTCTCACAAAGAAATTTCCAGGGTTTTCTCATGCACCTCACCACATCACTAAGCGTAATGCATATGCCAATAAGACTCGCATTTAGTGGCACTAGATAACCGTTGCAACTAAAAGATTTTCCTCTCTTTATAGTACGGCTATCGATTCTAAATCCGGTCGAGCACTTCTCTACTCAACCTATGACCGGTGAAATGAAAATGTCCTATAGGTTATACCTTTGCCTTGCGCATTCCATTCCATCTTCTCCAATGTCGATGCAACACATGCACCAACCCCCGATCAAAAAATAATATGATCCACTTCATATCATCACGTGACCTTATTAGTTCATCGATCTTGACCTCACTTGCTCTTTGCCATTGCCTACGTCCATCGACGCCAAGTCTTGCTCAAGCTTCACCGACACGCGGTCCATCGCTTCAAAGCCTCTAACTTGCCCTTCACGCTTGCAACCGGTCCATCGAGATAAGTCTTGTTTTGATCTTCTCCACCTTAATCACATGACTCCATGTCATGTCTCATATACAATAAACTCCTTCATCACATATTTACCTATGGACTAATTTCCTGTGTATCTCACATAAACACATATTAGTATACATAGGTTGCCACTCAGTTACCAAAACCAAACAAGGACCTTTTATGCGTTCAAAGCTATGCTCCGGTTCATGTTACGATATTGCGATTCCTTGCCTGCTGGAGATGATGAGCTTGGGATCTGTGCAACAGAGAAGTTTCAAGATCTTCTTGATCGCTGCGGCCGACCACTTTGCATTGCACCGTCTAAAGCTCGTATGCCAGGAAGCTATGGGATAATAAGGGCATATTTGGCATAGCTCATGACAGCTTCATGAGCTATTATGAGCTTTTTTTTCAAACACTCATTTCCAAAACAGTTTCATGGGTGAAGTTTTTTTTTCTCCCCCTCTCACAAAGACATGAGTTGGGATAAAGCCGAAAAAATACCTTATTCTAGCTCTCTCTCTCATTTCTCTTTCTAATCTATGCATGAGGATGCTGGTGAAGTTATTTTGCCAAACAATTTTTTTCGAAACAGCTCTTTACCTAAAAAGTTTCTTAAACAACTAGGCAGCTGAGCTACGCCGAAAAGTTGCTGTCGATTCTTTCTGAGCTGAGGGTGAAGGTCGGGGCGTAGAGACACGCATGCAAGCGCACTTGCCGGACTTAGTCCTCTTCTTTTCGTACTACAATGGTACTCCGTCCGTTTCAATTTCAAATCATATGACATTTTGATATTTGTAGATACATAATTTTCATTATATATCTAGACGTAACCTATACCTCGGTACAAAGGTTATTAATCTAGAAAAGTCAGAACGTATTATAATTTGGAACGGAGGAACTATTGTCTTATAAATTGTGCAAACTTTAATTTTTACTATTCCAGTTAACAATAATCCGATAAATGAAGTAACCATCGCATCTGATTCTCTGCGTGTCACTACCACTACCACTACCACGGTGCAATGCAACTCCACAGTCTTCGTATAGTACTTCTGTATCTGGTTTCCCGTAAATCTGTTTAGTGTATAGGAGACTCTGTTTATGCCTCCTTGCAAACTCGGCATACAATGAATCGTAGCAGGCTGAGACCTCCAGTGGGCTGTGTGGCTTACTAGATTTATTGGGCCTCATGAACCCCGCCGAAACGCTTTGCTGAAGGCCTGGCCCATTCCCTTGTACGACAGCCCACCGTGCGCGTCCGCGGCCTTTCCTGTGCGGGCACGTGAAATGAAAGACCAGGCGTCACGCCGTTCGTGGGTCGTGGCCCTCTTATGGCACGTACAACGGGCTTTGAGATGCCGTCTCCGTGATGACAAAATTGCAGAAAACACCTATCTCCAGCGCAATAAATGAAGAAAGAGGGAGAGCTCTTGCTCCAAGGCGATCTCGTGGAGCCGAGGTGCGCCGTGCGGATCGGCTGTGGGCGCGCCAAAATTCCTTCCGTCGCGCCCGCAAAGCCCTGGCCGCGCCTGGCATGGACTCTGACACGGTTCATTACATGCTGCAAAACTACTCCGTACACCTAGCAACTGATACAGAGATGACAGCTCGTCTGCTTGTCTGATATATCCTCCCTTGGTCTATGGGGGTCAGTCAATGACCCTGAATATTTTGGTCCGCAGAAGATCGTAGTATGCGAACATATGTCAGTTCCAACCCTAAATTCTCAAAAAGTGCTACAGTAATCATCACATCGAATCTTACGATACATACATAGAGCATTAAATGTAGAAAAAAAAACTAATTATACAGTTTGGTTAGAAATTACGAGACGAACATTTTGAGCCTAATTAGTCCATGATTGAACATTAATTGCCAAATAAAAAACGAAAGTGCTACAGTAGCCCAATTCTAAAATTCCCGCAACTAAACACGCGCTCAACTATCTGATATTTTGGTAAGTTTCACTGCTCCAAGTGCATAACTAGATTGATTTCTTAGGTCTGATGCATGACATCTTTCTTTCACTTTGGTCTGCACTTGATGCAATGGTTTAGTCTGCACTTGATGCATGACGTCTTTGTTTCAGTTTGGCTATAACGAAGTTTCAGTGTTGAGGCATTTGGGAAGAAAGCATTTTTGGCATGGAAAAAATTTGATTTACATCTAGATATAAATATACTAATATATCATTTATATATATTGATGGTGGTTCATCTTATTTATATTTGATCTATTTTGTTTCAACAAACAACATATTGGTATACACGAACCATATTCATATTTGATCACTGCTACATGTAAGCATTAAATGATTTATAGATAGTTTAACGGATAGCCCATTGTACAAGCTGTCTGTTCAGCCATCTATATTGAGGTGGACAGAACTTGCAGACGGCATACTGTCTGTGAGATGTACATGCCCTTATTAGGCGAGAGAGAGGCAAGCAACCCCGTGCGTGTGGGCCCGTGTTGTTGTAC